AATGACCATGACCCAGATTTGAACTGTTAGTGTTCATTTTTACAGTCATGAAGACAAACACCTGACCGTTTGTAACCAGGACTCACCGGTGCCTTTTCAACACTTTAAACATTTACGGAGTTTTGTATAATCCGTTAGTTTCAACTAAATCAGGACAGAATTTTAATGACGGTCTCCCAAATGAACAAGGAGCTTTTCTCACTGAGATGTTTGGCTTGGAGACAGCCGTGTGGGAAGGACCCGGTACTAGTAAGGGGTTAAATGGGCCAGTGTGAGGAACCTGCTTGAGTTCAGCCTGGCTGCTACCCAGACTCTGAATGCTGGCTCCTTTGGCGTGAGAACTAATCCCTCGGCTGCTATCTACATTCAGGCTGCTTCCTTCTCAGGTCCAGAAGCTCCTGTTTGGTTTGGGTCTCACTCACTTGTGGGTCTGTACTCTGCTACTTCGCACAGAATATGTATTAATGTGTGTGTGTGTGTGTGTTACACATATAGGACTGCATGAGACAGCGTGGTTTCATCAAATCCATGCATCCTATATCTTGGCTGCAGTAACGGCTCAGGAAAATAACTTATATTTCATAAATAATGACGTCTTAATAGTTTCTATGATAATGTTTTATCTTATCTTTGGTCTGGGAGGTGTAACTTATCATGATACATGCCTTTTAAAACATGTTAATGTGCTACAAGAGGAGATGAATGCATGAATTTAAAGTTCATGTTTGGAGACCAACCTTCACAGTTTGGAGGCTCACGCTGGTGAGGAGACACCGTTAGTTCTAGTAACACCTGGAAGGATTCCAGTTGGATGATTGGAGGATTATTTAGGAGGATTGGAATGAACAAACTGGTTTCAGTGGTGAAGGGTTAAATGAGTGAGTGAACCCACTACCAAGGATGAACTCTGCTAACTTTAAAAATCAGCTGCTCTAAATAAGCATGAAGGTCAGAGAGGAGCTCTAGGATGGACATGGATACAGGAACTGTAATGTAGAGGTAAAGTAGGGCAGGGCCAACGTTAGCAGCTGTCATACGCTCCATCTGACATGTTTGACTGCATTTAGCTTGTTATGTGACAGGTTAGAGCACAGTCTCATGTTAGAGTTTAGTCATGAGAACATTGAGATACCTCACACACTGATGGCATCTAAAAAAATTATTTTTTCTCAAAATAAAGAATAATTTTAACCACAATTGAAACTTACCATCCTAGAAAAACCTCGTCCAATCAATGTGCACGTCCTGTTCTCACTGATTGGATAGAAATCCCTCCTTCAAGCTGAGCGTGTGTGTGTGTGCGTGTGCGCGCACACACACACACGAGCAAATTGTGAACTGGCGTTGTGATATAGCACTACTTAGATGTAGCCATCCTTACGCTGACAAAAATGTAACTAAGTAACTTTTACTTTGAGTACATTTTGTTTACGATACTTTTTACTTCTACTTGAGTAAAAATTTAGGCAAGTACTTTTACTTGTAATTGAGTAAAAAATTATCAAAGTATTGGTACTCAATCAATCAATCAATCAAAGCTTTATTTATAAAGCGCCTTCCGCAACCCTGTCAGGAAGCCCAAAGCGCTGAAATTAAATACTCGTAATTAAGTAGGAAATTTTAGTACTCTTTCCACCTCTGCCGATCGCATGAGGTGAAGGGACAGATTTGTCCATGTTAAAAAGTCTCTGAAATACATTAAAACAATTTAAACACAATAGTAAATACACTATCGTGGACCTTATACGTGACTGTAATGGTAGCAGGATACCTCCGAATACGCTACGCCCTCTTGTGTCCTGGCGGGGAATTGTTTTGCAACATTCTCCAGCTGACGGGAGAAGTCTGAAAGCAAAACATCTGTGTGTGCGTCTGCGTCTGCTGGAGAAGTAAAAGTTGGGCTTCAGTCCTTAAACAGCTTTTAGTGGTGTAGCGTAGGCAAATTGATGATTTTATCTGTTATGACCAGGAAGATGTGATATTCTATATAAATATAAAATATTAACCTGCGAGGTCTTTATTGTAATTAATCAGAAGATTCTAGGATTTAATTCAGAAGATCTAGGTTCGTTTACTTCAAGAAAGAGTCAGGTTTGTAAAAGTAAGAATTTATTTTTCCAACAATTTAAAACATGACTAATTGGTTAACTATTATTTACTGTGAGTGGATGGAGCTAAAGCTGATGTCTGGAATCTATGTGGATGCGATGTTGGTCAGAACTTCCGTATCTCGGAGAGCTGCATTCTGGATGTAAAAGAATTTGGTTTGCGTTAAGCTATGAGGTTGATTGTTATCAAAACCCCACATCCGACGCGATCTGTGTGTCTACATTACCCATATTCAGAGACCCTCTTGGTGGACTGAAAGTCAGAGAGGTCGGATGACCGCTGGCACCGAAGGGCTGTAGAGTACCGTGGGACCGATCCTTTCAGTCCAGAGATGTCTCGGGTCACAACAGCTGGAGGGAACCGTGCGTATAGCGGACTCTTACCCCCAAATTCCACTACCTCCGCTCCGCTCCGGCACGAACTCCGCAGCAAAATCGGTCCCGTTGTACTCAATCCAACGCAATTCCACTACTGCGGCCGTGCTCCGGCAGTGTGGCGCCCTCTGTTCCGGCGTCCGGCAAAAATAGAATCGATCCTATTTTTGCCGGACGCCGGAGCACCTCCGCAGTCAATGGACAGGAATCACAACCGCCCAACAGGAAAAGGAGCACGCACAACTTCTGTTTTTCACAATAAATGGATAAACAAAAGGCATTTTTTGTTTCATACGCACATGTTTAACAACTTTTAACAACTATCAGTGGCGGCTGAACTTTAAATGCACAAAAGTAAGCCATAAATACAGTTTCTACTGTCAAAGTAGTCACCCTTTGTTGATCCAAACACTGCTGATCTCTCAACACAAATGATGGGCAGATTAAACAGTTCATGCCGATGCTTCTCCCACACAACGGGTGTTTGGATCTAACTTCCGCGTTTATTGCTCGGACTGTATCGCAAGATCTCGAAAATCCCGCGCATGCTTGTTTGCCCCCCTCAGGTCTCCGCACCGGAGCGGAGCCGTTGTAGAGCGGGTACCAGTAAAAATTGAGTTCGGAAGCGAGCGGCAGCGGGGGGCGGGGGCGGAGCGGAGGTAGTGGAATTTGGGGGTTAAGGAGTCTAACAATATCAGCTTTGTTTCTGCAGGAACTGTTTGCTCATCAGCTTTGCAGGTGCAAAACGGTTTTGACGACGTGTCAAAATCTTTGATGGTTAAAGAGGTTTAGCTACAGATGGCCGGTCTGAGCGATTCTCTAGAACTGTCGAATCTCTCAGGATGATCCAGTTTTAAGGTTTAGCTGTTATGATTTGCACAGCCAATGAGAGGCTGACAAGTTTGGAGATGTTTTACAAAGACAACTCAGAAACACACCCTCTTTGATAGCGGATGTCCTGACTGGTTATAAAGGCGAGTTATGTGTTGTAGTCTAACTTAACCGTACCTGTTATGTGTGGATGCAGGTGCGAGGACCTTGTCGTCAAAACATGTTGGACACATGGCAGGTTCTAGTAGACACACATAATATAACATCCATCCAGTGAGCACAGATTAACGAAGCATTTCATTATACTATACTTATTATAAGTAGTAATAACCAAATGTTTATTTAATGATTATCTAGATTATAAGTCATAGAAGTAGTTCATACTGATTTAGTAAATCATTCTTGAATTTAGCAACTGGTTCGAGCTGGAGTTGGAGTCTTCTGTGGAGGCAGACAGATGGGACCTTGGGGAAAGAAAGTTATTGTTTATCTTTCAGACATGCAGAGTCTGTGAATCCCAGCTGGTATGAAGGCAGGCTCGTTTAAAGGGAACACGTGCAGTGTTGTCTCCTTTCTGACCAGATGTTGAATAGATGGTGAAAGGTCAGACAGTGCCTAAACTGACCATTGCTGGACGCCACAGTGGTGAAGAGGTGTGGCTGGTGTGGAGAGCCACATCCTATTTGAACAATGTTTAGTGTGTTTATGCAAACAAACAGTAACAAAAAAGTAGGTTTTTAATCTAAAAGTGTTAAAAAGTGATTCCAACATGAAGTCATGGGCTGTGATATTCACAATTCCAGAAGCTAAAGAAGATTCTGTGGTGAGGAGGGCCAACATGGAGGCAAACAGGAAGAACGAAGACTATATGACACATATAAAGGGTGTTTCTCAATGTCAAGGCGCCTTGCTTACGAGGACACGGTCCTTCCTTGGTCAAAGAAAACTGTTAAATGGAACAGATTTGCATCACGTGACCACAGCTTCCACAGCGGTCACGTAACATCACGTGACATGGGAGATAACGTTATATTTTATATATATATTAGTTTCATTATAAATATATAACGAGCCTTTTACTTTTTAAATTGTGTGTGTTTGTTAAATTAAATATATAAGTGAGTTACTACCCTCTAGGCACCGAAGCTGCAACCACTAAGCAACTAACCAACCATAGATAACTTCTTTGGATCTAAAAAAAAACATTTTAAATTAGTTGACTTACTTTTAAACTTGAAAATTGTCTCCGAAGTAGCTGCCGGCTTCTGATCCGCTGTCTTTTTGAATGTACCGCGGTGTATTGTGGGTAATTTTTGACCAAGGCTAGGCTACAAGACACCTCTTGTGTATCCTTGTTCAGCTAGCTAAACGGCTAACAAACGGAGAACACACGCCTCGGTAGAACATGAACATTGGAACCGATTGGAACACCTCCTGGCGGCTCCTGATGACGTATCTCCTAGGTAACCGGGGCGGGGCCAAGACATCAAGGCTAGGTTCCTTGACACTGAGAAACACCCAAAGTCTTAGGGGGTGTACTGATTCTAGATCAGCTGTTTCTATGACAACCAGCAATGTCTCCTGTTTCCTGTGAGCTGTTAGGAATATTTTATTTTGAAATGTCCAACATTTGGTTTTGAATCGGTTTCTGATTAGATGTTTGTTCATGTTGTTTGACCTGTGCAGGCTCCACACTGCCCAGACCGACCCCACAGGTCCAGAACGGGCCCGTGCAGGAGGAGCTGGACCTGCAGAGGAGGTAAGAACCTGATCAAATCCCATCATGCTGAGCAGAAAAGACATGTCTCCAAATCCATCCTAAATGACCATAAGGAGACGGGGCTTCTCCGAAAAGGCAGACACGCTCAGTAGGTCCGTGTTTCCTACAGTGGTAGAGCCTCAAGGCAGGAAACAGAACCGGCTCTGCTTCATTCAAGACCTGTGTTTTCCTCAGGCGGTAACGAGGCTTTGGGACACGCACGCACGCACACACACACACACACACACACACACACACACACACACACACACAGCAGGGCGCGTTTTATTTGGGGGTTAGGGCTGGGACAAAAAAAAGCAGTAGTGCCTCATTTTAGCTGCAGTTAATCACTCATGAAGTCAAATTTTACTTCTATGATCAAAAGAGCAACATGAGAAAGGAATCAGGAAAGCAGACAGAAATGTTATGTTTGTTTTTCCATTTTCAGTTCAGACAATTTAAAAAGTTGACTCTTCGTCACATTTAGATATTAGTAAAGGCTACGTTGAGGCTATCATTTTCAACGTCCACATGAATGTTGAAATCCCCCACTACAATGACCTTATCAGTATTTAGCACCAAGTCAGATAAAAAATCAGAGATCTGTTCCAAAAACTCAGAGTAAGGGCCTGGTGGACGATATAAAACTACAAACAAGAGTGGTTTTACAGTTTTGCAATCTGGATTAGGAAAACTAAGAATAAGATGTTCAAAGAACTGTAACTATTAATCTGTAAGGGACTGATTAATAAGTCCGAATGAAAAATGGTTGCCACTCCTCCTCCTCGCCCTGTACTTCGAGCAATGTGATGATTTAAATAATTTGAAGGAGTCCACTCATTTAAACTAACATAGACCTCTTGCTGCAGCCAGGATTCTGTGAGAGAGAGCAAAGAGATCTGATTATCACAAATCAAGTCATTAACTCATTCACTGCCAGCCGTTTCCTGATCGCTAACGGCCTTCGCTGCCAGCGTTTCTCACAGTTTTTACAGTTTTTTTTAAGAGTCACAGAACGTTGCGCGCTAGGATGATGTCGACGCCAAAACAACCAAAACAAAGAGGAGACTCACCTCGTACATCAGGAAGAAGCCGCGTGTTTGGAGCGTTATCTGTTCTTTCATAATCCGTTGTCGAATTGTGATCGGCCGATGCTTTTCCGGTTCGCGCCTCACTTTTTTTTACAGGAACGGCCCAAAACGATCTCCTAATACATGGATGTGTTGCTTCCTGATCATGTGATCTGTGACGTATGCGGATGAAGATCGGCTTCAGGGCTGAGATGTTTGTTCTCTCAGCGCGGGGGCTCGTTCTGATGCTCAAACAGTAAAAAAATGCAAATGACGACTTTAGTCGTCAATGGCAGTGAATAAGTTAACTAACAAAGTCTTAGAAAAAATGGATCTAATGTTCAACAACCCACATTTAATTTTTCTAGTTTTCTGCTCAGTTGAGTTTGTTCTAATATTTATGAGATTTCCATGATTTGCTTTATTAAGCCTGATATTTAATCTGTGTGGTTTTGGCCGTGGGCAGGACACTGTCTCTATGGGATAGTGGGTGGGTAACAGTACAGAAGCTGCAGAGGGGTGGGTTAAACTACGACTCTGCTTCCTGGTCTGGACCCTGGGTTGTCATGGAGGACTAATAAAACTGGCCATGTTCCTAGAAAGAAGAGCTGCTCCATCCAAAGAGGGATGGATGCCGTCTCGTCGCGTCAGACCAGGAATAAGGTCTGCTAGGTAATGGGGAGCTACACTATTTAGCAACTTACAGGAATAGAAGTAAATTAAGGGGCCGGAAGCCCGTTCAGGGCCACTAGGGCTGATATTATTCAGTGTCTTTTAGGTACCAGTCAGTAACCGGTTCTGGACTACCTGGAGTCTTGCTATCAAGGCCTGTCTCATTAAAGCAAATTGCAGTAGTCAAACCTGGAGGTGATGAAGGTGTGAATCGCCATTTCTATGGTCATGTGAGAGAAATGACCTCATCCTAGCTGTTCGCCGTAGATGGAAATAACAAGATCTCACAGTTACATTCGCCTGCCTTCAGGGGTGGTCCTAGGCCAGATTTTCTGGGGGGGCCACAGTGGGGCCCTTAGTTTTTCATTGGGGCACAGGAAACAAAGGGAAATGAAAAAGGGGGATTATTTAATTGTTTTCGTCTTTCCCCCATTTGATTCATATTGTATGTTTGCACCAGTTCATCAAAGGAACTGCTCACAATTCTCATTCTCTCACTTTTTCTTTGTTCTCTCTTTTTTCATGTCTTTCTTTACTATATGTCATTATAATTTTAACTTTTCTTGTCTTTAGTCAGCCAGCTATCTCTTATTGTTGTAATAAACTCAAATACCATTCTGATAAATGTATAATAAACTATGAACAAGTTTGTGAAAACAAAACCGTTGGACATGTTTTATGGCACTCAGAAACTGTGATTTTATCTTGCTATTACAGACTTTATACATTAAAAATAAGCTTTGAAACAATTTTGTACAATAACATTATTTTCCTTCTGTGCTAATGTAGTTGAGCAGTGCTTGTTTTGCAGTCACGGAGCCATCAGACAGATAATTAAAGCCACATGCAAACATCTGACATGTTTCATTTACTTTATCTTGTTTTAACACAAAATAACCTCAGAATGAATCCTCCATTAGTCTGAAATAGTGCCCTCTCCAAGCAAATTCACTTCATCAGTTGTTTAAAGACCAAATTCACTAGTTTTTTCATTGCTTTTGCAGTTATCTCTAACATAAATAAATAAATACCATGTGAGTCAGTTATGTGGGGAAATAAAGCTCTGGTGCTCCTGTTTCAGGAGCTAGACGTTAGCCAGAGTCGAGCTGAGCGTCAGACAGCAGATCAGGAATTTTATCTTCTATATTCAGACAGATTATGTCCAGTTCCTAAAGCCAGAAGGTGAGTCAAACACTTCCTCTGGGCTGAAATGTCTGCTGCATGACCCTAGGCAGCATCCGTAGTACCAGAGCATTCAACCCATAGCGACTTGGCTGGTAGCTGTCCCCATTAATGTGACTAGAAACGACCTGAAATCAGGCTGAGCAGGTGGGTCATCCTGGCACCTGCTGATCTCTAAAATGAGATAAATGTTAACATGAGCATAGAAGTCAGAACAATTTCATTGATTCAGTTTCTTATTTATTTATTGATTATAAATAATCAAATGTAGGTCCTTAGTCAACATGCATCACATGCTTTTCACACAGTCTGAGCTACAATCGCACATGGTTGTTCCTTCTCCTCAGTCTCAGCCTCACCTTCCTCCTCATCCTCGGGGTGGACAGTCTCTGTCTGATCTCTGAGGTTCCTCTCCAGCCGTCTCCTATCCTGCTCCTCAGCTCCCTCCTGAAAACGCACACCTTAGGGGAGCCCCTGACTAGCGAGCAGGATAGATAGTTAGGTAGCAGATAGAGAGATAAGAGGAGGGGAGCTAGAATGGGTCCTTGGGGCACTTCTCATGGTAGATCAGCAGTATTGGACAAGTAATCTCTCAGGCTTACACAGAAACTCCTCCCTGAAAGACAGGGCCTAATTCATTTCAGTGCTAAGCCTGTAATTACTCCAATCAACCAACTAATATATTATGGTCTAAGGTGTTGAATGCTGCTGTCAAGTGTAAGAGGAATAAAGTCACTGCATCCTCAGAGTCACTGGCCATTATATGTCTTCAAAGACCTTTAAAAGAGCTAGTTTTCATACTGTGCTGAGTTTTGAAACCAGTCTGAAATAACTCCAGTATCTCATATTCATACAAAAGAGGCACCGCCTTATCAAGGATTGTGGATAAAAGAGGGAGTGTAGACTCAGGGCTAAAGTTTGTCAAGTCAGTTGAGTCTAAGCATTTTTTCGTCAACAGAGGACGCGCCACCCAAGAGAACTAAAATGAAAGTCCCACCAGTTGTCATACACAAATGTTTCAAATGTATATATATATATATATATATATATATATATATATATATATATATATATATATACATATATATATATGTATATATATATGTATATATATATACATATACATATATATATATATATACATATATATATATATTATATATATATATATATATATATATATATATATATATATATATATATATATATATATATATATATATGTATATATGCACATCAATAATATTAATACTGTTGATAGCATGTATTGAAAGGCTCTGAACCAAAGATATTATAAGACATTTAAATGAGTCCATGGAGGATGGCTGCTTATACTGATCCTGGATCCTCTGGAGGTTACGTCCTGTTAAAAGGGAGTTTTCCTCTCCACTGTCGCTACATGCTTTGTTAGTATGAGGATTGCTGTAAAGTCTCTTGACACTAGTCAGTGACTCGATGCAACCTGCTGGGTTCCCTATACAGGAAACTTGTTACTGATTGGCTTGATGACCTGACCTGTGTTGAATAAAAAAACATCTGTTTTCCTTCCTGCTTTCAGCTGTACTTTCTCTTGACGCCATTGACAATTTTAGTTGTTTCACCAAATAGTTTGAATCTACAGAACTCTTGACTGTTGGAAACCAGCAGAAGAAAAGGTTCTTGCATGTCTGAGTGCATGTGTGGATGCAAGCCCTGATGCCGCCCACACTCCCATAGCAACCATTTCCCTGGCAACTGCTGTCAGGAAGAAAGAAAGAAGCTGGCTAAATAGAACAGAGGCTTTTTTAATGTTTGGAGTTGTGCAGCATTTTTTATAAGAAATGCCAGGTTGCCTCTGTCAGCGTGCTCCAGGGCAGCTAACACTAACTCATCACCCTAACCCTAACCTGGATGAGTGGCTGACTGCAGTTGTAACGAGCTTTGGAGTCTCCAACTCATAAAGGTGCCATACAAGTGCAGGTCATGTTATCATTTAACAATGAGAGGCAGGGGCGTGTCCAGGGAGTGGCCTGGGGTAGCACATGCCACCCTTACCCCCAAATTCCACTACCTCCGCTCCGGCACGAACTCCGGAGC